AATGCATATTACTATTTTTTATTTTATTTTATTCTATATTATTTTATTGCTTTATATTTACATACTTTTATTTCATGTTCTTATTTTATTTTATTCTATTTTATTTTATTTTATTCAATTAAATTTTGTTTTATTTTATTTTATTTTATGGCTTTACGTTGACATATGTTTAATTCATGCTCTTATTTTATTTTATTTTAATTTATTTCATTTTATTCAAATTTATTTTATTGCTTTACATTGAAATACTTTTAATTCATGCTCTTATTTTATTTTAATTTATTTCATTTTATTTTATTTTTTATTTTATTTCATTGCTTTATATTTACATAATTTTATTTTGTGCTCTTATTTTATTCTATTCTAATTTATTTTATTTTATTCAACTGTATTTTATTGCTTTATATTTACGCACTTTAATTTCATGCTCTTATTTTATTTTGATTTATTTTATTTTGTTTTGTTTTATTTTATGGCTTTACATTGACATACTTTTAATTCATGCTCTTATTTTATTCTATTCTAATTTATTTTATTTTATTCAATTTTATTTATTTTATTTTATTTTATTGCTTTGTATTTACACACTTTTATTTCATGCTCTTATTTTATTTTGATTTATTTTATGGCTTTACATTGACATACATTTAATTCATGCTCTTATTCTATCTTCTTATAATTCTCTATACTTTACATTGGAGCAACTTTAATGAATCACTTTATTTCTGATTCTGATAAAGTCCAAACTGTCCATGGATCATACAGTGTCATATCGACACAGTAGCAGGGACTTAGTCTGAAACATAGTCTGTTACTCTCCTACACAAACAATAAGGCCACGGCTGGCTGGTCAAGCTCAACAGAAATGGATGTTATAGGTATCTCGCTTCCAGACCTCTGAATGCCTGCCTCCGATTTGTTCAGCGATTCAAATCTGAATGAATAAAGTGAAACCAAATGGTAATTCAGTCTGATTATCAGGCTATGTTATAGAGATTCACTGAACCATTTCTGCCCGTCTCTGTCTTCGATTCTGCCTCTTTATCTTCCTCTCCCTTTGTCTTTAACTCAGTGACAGAAAATGAGCAATTCATGGGGATGAATACTGGGTATACGGATCCCAGGCCAGACGACTCAAGCGAGAAGCTGTAAACATGGTTAATTAATGAAAATAGGCAAACTGAAAATGTAGAGAACAGCAAAAGGGATCTGTCCATCTGCATGCCCCATCACTGTTATAATCCGTTGAAGGCCTTAGGTTAGTGTTCAATAAAACAAAGAGTTCTGTAGTATAGTAGTACACTTTTGCCAGCCAAAATAGTGTCTGCTTTGAGTGACGGGTCATTGTTTTGGGGCTCTGTGGTGCTGTGTTATTGCAGCAGGGCTCATGGTATTAAGTTTCATACGAGGGGTGGTCAGGGAGCAGCCAGTTCAAGCAATCAGCCAGATGACCACCCACATGGCCTTAGGTCTTAACAGACAGTATGGTGGCTAAATATTATGCATACACGGTGGCCAGGAAATCGATCTCTACTGGACGGGCTTAATTAATTCACAGGGGCACACAGGTATGCACATGATAGAAAAATAAATGCACAATGGCACATATTGGAACACAATTCCCCTAAAACCAAAAATACACATTTGTCCTCTTACCTGTTGTACTAGTTATCAGCCTAGATTACTTTGGTGTGGGTTGCAGAGTGATATCAGCTGTAAAGATGTCTGCCTTCTCTCCAATATAATGGAACTACAGTAAATGGCCCTTGGCTTGTGGTGCGCCAAGTGCCAAAAGAATTAATTCAACAGCAATGTCTCTTTCCAGAAAAAATGACCTGGTTACTCAAGATAATCCACAGACCTTAGGCGTTTTCAGACCAAACAGTTCAGGGACTCCCTCAGTGGAACTGTCCACTGGGGAGCTCCCCTCAAAAACTACATGAGCTGGAGGACTTTCTTCTGTTTACGTTCATTTTCGGCAATAGAAACGTTGAAGTGATGCACTATAAACTGTCCGGCAGTTGATTTAGCGCTGTCACTTTCGCTTTGAAGATTCAAAATGGCGTTGTATTTCCACTGGTGCACATATGCTCATTAAAGCCTGGACTTCACTGTTGGTCCAGTTATTCTTGTTTACTTCCAGTTTTTGATTTTATTACAAGTTGTTGATTGTGTTTTTGTGTTGTGTGCAATTCTGACTTACGTCACTCATGCTTCCTTTTGTTCTGAGAGAGTACTAGTTATGGGCAAAGCAGTTCTTTAGATGTTACTGAATCACTAGAATCAGTTCATTAAAAAGAGTCCTTCAAATGATTCGTTCACCGAATTGTTCAGAGCTTGGCGGAAGGAGCCCTGACTGTTTACTGCGTAGTCCGACTCACTGAACTGATACACGGCTGAGCTGCTGTGTCTGCCCTGCACTGGTGAGTCTCATTACTGGCCAGCCTAACATTTTAAGTTTGTTTATCTAGAAACTAAGTCTGTTAAAACAATGAGGAGGTGTGTGACTGTGTTCATGTGGCTTGACTCCTGGCTACATTAGCCACTAGCTTGGAGAAAACGGTCCCTATGAAAGTGTATCGCTGAGAAGAAAGGATTTGAATTACTCAGGGATCAGGGTGATGACGTTCACCAAGTGATTCGTTCACTGAGTGATTTGTTCACTGAGTGATTCGTCAGGCGGTAGGCAGTCCCTTTCTGCACCCTGGCTGCCTCACAACTCGCGAGTGATTCATCGTTCGCAGTGACCGAATCGGCAGTTCCACTCTCGGTCTGCACGTTCGCTGCTGAGCTCAACTGAACTGAGAAATTAACGAATTAGTTTCGGAAGTGATTCAGTTCTGTACGTTCACTCAACAGATTCGTTCTTTTGAATGATTCATTCGCGAACGACAGAACACTAGAGAGTACCTACTCTGAAATCGGAGCTAAAAAAGTCCACCAAAATGATGTTCTAAAAACTACTATTGTTCCTAGTTCTTACGATACACAATAAAAGGGGGGTTCTAAGAACTATGAAGTTCCTCCAGTCCGAAAACGCCTCTTATTGTGAGCGGTATTTTCTTCCTACAGAACTACAACCCTCAACTGTATCACTGTGCAGGAGAACGTTAGCATCTACTGCTAGCTCACCTAGCAGCACTGAGCTAGCTAAAGTTACAGCTCAGCTGAGGAGGCCATCAGTGTTTACATCTTGCGCCATCACAAGCACAAGCCTTTTATCCATGTGGTGATATGGTTGGCGGGTAGCCTGGAAATCCAGACCCAAATCTAGAAAGATTTAGGGTCTGGCCATGAGTAATGCAAATGGCCCAACTCGAGGGGCGGCACCAAGCATGCATTTGAAAATATCACTGGACGCAATTGGATAACATTACGACCAATCAGAACAATACTTAGCACTTAGCTACCAGCGGAGCTAACTGGTAGATTAGACTCTCGCTGTATCCGGTCGGCAAAACAGCAAAAACGTCCTTCTTGCAAAGGAAAGATTCGAGCGCCGTCTTCTGTTCCTCTTTTAGAGAAAAAGCCAAGTCTAACTCGTTCATTGTAGCGGCCAAAGCTGTTTCAAACAACTGGTGTTCATCCGTAGCCATCTTGCAATGTTTACTGACTGATTCCGGACTTCGTCGTCGCGGCGCTGTCATCATCTGTTTAGCTCGCCTCTGGCCCGCCTATATCAGATACACCGATGTGATTGGTGCAGCTCGGCTCCAACGGCATGGGTAATGAGCATCATTACTGATTGACAGAGTGACTCGCTGAGCAAATTCAAATTGTGCTCTCATGAGAACTCTGGATTTCCAGGGTAGTTGGCGGGTGTAGTTGGGTAGAGAGAAAATAGTTCCTACATGAAACTGCTGTCAACAAGGTCTGGGGATTATCTTGAACCTTTTTTGTGTTTTGAGCACCGCAAGCTACGTGTCATCGAGTTCTATTATATTGGGCAGAATTCAGACACTTTCACGACTTATACTTCCAACGCTCAGCAGGTCACACCAAAACAATGTAGGTAGATAAACAGCACCACAGGTGAGAGGAAAAATATGTATCTTTGACTTAGGAGTGAACTGTCGCTTTAAAGGCACCAGCCTCAACTGATATATAATCCAGCCCTCATTTATTACTCTTCTTTATTTGAAGTATTTTTACATGTTTAGACAAGACATAAACACCTTAGAGAACACTGTATGGGTGCACACCAGTTGAGTATCCATGAGTCAGTGTGTTAAATGTCCTTTTATTGTCCAGACATTCACGGGGAAGCTGTATCCATGTCTTCTGAAATAAAGACAGTCCAGTTCTCCCATTTTCGGAGGAATATTGGTCCTCTGGATCTCAGAGAAAAGTCATCTTTACCATTATAAAGATCTCCCTGATTATATTTATCCATAGATTTGTACCAGTTCTTCATAATCACTTTCTTGCTGGCAATAAACAGTATTTTACACAGATACCAATCTTTTTTATTCATCACATCTTCCCTTATTGCACCGAAATACAGGACCTTGACATCAATATATCATGTTTCATGATGAATATAAACCGCTTCTTCAAATGCTGCAGAAAGGTTTACATCTATATGAAGTTCTCAGTATCCAAGTTTATGTTTGTTAGGCTGCAGTGTGATAACATTTCATCCTGTGGCTTCAATCACTTAGCCATTGACCCTGTCTCAATATGAGCTGTCATCAGCCGTGTTATCAACCTCCATCTTTCCTGCTGGGTGACTGGGTGGTCTTAGTCCTGCTAGACCACCTCAGTGTCTCTCTTTCTCTGTCTCGCACACCTGTCATTACCTACTCGTATCATATCGTAAATCTTGGTGATTGATTATAATGGCTTGATTAATGCTTTTAGATTAGTCCTAATGCAATGCTTTTAGAAATGATACATTATCTACTTCCACATCCACTTGATATGTGTGTGCTTCATAGTTATTTTTGCTGTACCCATGGATTAATGTAACCCTTGTTCTGTGTTTGCATTGTGCTCCACAGGAGATTGTGCTGGTGCTGTTCTTTGGCACAGAGTATGTGGTCCGGCTGTGGTCGGCAGGCTGTCGCAGCAAATATGCGGGCATCAAAGGACGCCTCCGCTTTATCAGGAAGCCCATATCAATCATAGGTGCACCTGGCATTTTCCTTTGCTCCCTTTTAATACAGCGGATGTCATGTATTGTTCTTGTAGATCAACAACTTAGATCATTCAAGCGTTGTAAGGCTTTACTTTAGTACAATGTTTCCTTACTCAAGTGATTATGTTATCTTAACTGTTTCTTTTTCACTGTCTCTCTATCTCTTTCCGACAGATTTGATAGTGGTCATTGCCTCAATCATTGTGCTCGGTGTAGGCTCCAATGGCCAAGTGTTTGCCACGTCTGCTATCAGGTAGAGTGACTATTTTCTGCTGCATTTTATTGACTCGTACATGTAGCTGGTGAGATATCAGAAGATAATGGGGTGTTTTTGTGTGTTACAGGGGCATCCGTTTCCTCCAAATCCTGCGCATGCTACATGTGGATCGACAGGGAGGAACGTGGAGGCTCCTGGGATCTGTAGTCTTTATTCACCGACAGGTAAGTTGAAAGTATTCAGGCCAATTCTGAAACAAACTAGAGGTGCAAAACAAGCCATTACTCTTGTTGCATCAGTTATGTCAACTAAATCATTTTAAAGGCTGTTAGTTTATGATTGTTAGTTTTTACTCACACACTATAAGACTTTGCAAAGACTCAGGATCTTGCAGGGTCACAATTTGCAAGACTAAAGTAGATTCCTTTTGAGTTAGTTATTTCACATCCCGCTCCTGATGGAAAATGTTATGCTGAAATACCTTTAAGAAATATGACATATTAACAATTCATTAAGTGTCCCCAAAAACACAAAACTCTAGAAACACAAGATAAAAGGTGTCACATGTTGCATGCTGCTCAGTGGTTCAGCGGCCAGCATTGTTGCCTCACAGCAAGAGGGTTCCATGGATGGGGGAGCCCTTCTGTGTGGAGTTTGCATGTTCACCCCATGTCCTCCATGTACTCCAGCTTCCTCCCACATTCCAAAGACATGCAGGTGACTCTAAACTGTCCGTAGGTGTGAATGTGAGTGTGAATGGTTGTCTGTCTCTATGTGTCAGCCCTGTGATAGTCTGGTGACCTGTCCAGGGTGTACCCTGCCTCTCGCCCAGTGTCAGCTGGGATAGGCTTCAGCCCCCCTGTGACCGCTAACAGTATAAGCGGTTATGGACAATGAATGAATGAATGAATGAACTTGCTACCTGCAAACCATTTCAAACATTCCAGTTTCTCACTAACATAAATGCTGCTTTGTAAATCAGGTACATGCTGAATTTAACACAGACTCTTGTTCCACAACTCCAACAGTTTCTCCTCCTTTTCCACAGTCCACAATGGGACTTGTTCAAGTTCTTGTGCCTCCCTGGAATCCCCTCCATGAGCGTAGCTATTGGTTGTAGACAATGTTTGCATTATTGAACATTACTTTTTGCATGAGCCAAGTCGTCAAGACTGACTTAAGACAGCTCAGACTAAGTTTTATGACCATCTTATGCCAAACAATTGAGATCATGGGAGTGCGCACCCTGCTTGAAAGGTCCAGAGGACCGAAACGTTGCTTCATTAAAAACCACTGCTGTGGAAGTGCAAGTCAGTCTGCGGGCAATCCTACTTTCCATGTTATCAACTTTCTGCTGTGCCAACACACCTGATGACAGAAGCTGATTATCCTGGTGTGCTTCAATACAAAAGTGCGCACCAATTGACATGAAAAATTTATATGAGACAATGAAAATGCTTGAAAAGTTGTTTGGTGTGAGGCTGACATTAGCTGCAGTATCATCTATAGGGTGAGTTCACAGACTCATTAGAAATACATGCACACGTGCACAAATAATCAGCAACAGACCTGGCTTTATAAGGAGAAGAACTCCTCAAGGTTGCCTTTATGTGTTTTTTTCACCCTATCCTGGTACACTTCTTTTTGTAATTTTATTAGGCGGACACACAATGAAATCAGAGGATGCAATGTTCTTTTCTTAATCCCTGAAGTAGACCGTGTTCTTTGGTCACAGTCAAAGCTGACGCTCATGTCTCTTTGATGCATAAGAAGAAGAACTGATCAGTGAGGATTACGTGCGAAGGTCAAGAAAATAAACGGAAGACGAGTCCAAGATGAGCCTAACGTGATTTGTTGCCATCTCCCTGTTGTCAGATGACCACTTTATCAAATGATGTGCTCTGTTTAGTGGAAATATATTGCCTTTAGCAGTGTCAATAAGTTGGTGGAAAGGAATAGACTTAACACGGTAGGAGGAGTGCTCAGAACAGTACTTGAGTACGGTAGTGGTTTCTGTATTTTACCAACCGACAAGACAGATATGGTTACACATTATATCTCTGGTTTTATTAGTCTTTTCACGTTAACTTTTGCATTCATGTACTTGACCAGTTGATGAGCTTATTCACAATATGGGGCTGTCCCTGTAAAAGACTAATACTCAGTCCATAAGCAATCGATGGAAAAGCAAATTGACTGTGTTCAGAGAGCTATGGTCCTGTTTCACGTGGGCTTAAACGGCCTTTCTCCCTGCCATGACAGAATCATGAAAACATCAAATGTAAAAATGTACAACTGGTCATGTGTTACGTTGCACCTAACCTGATTGCTTTGGTTTAGGGTGGATTGGAAGTCAGTGTCCTGTGCCGCAAGCCTGACTGATTGTAGACCCTTAGAGTAGTCGGCTATAACAACCACCACACCCAGTTTATCCTTCCTGCTATGCTGAAGGTGGTGGGTGACTTAGCTGGCACAAGGCTGGTCTCAACAGTGCAAACACTATTAGTCCTTAAGTAAGGCCTGAGAGCACTCATTAATGTCAAGAAGATGTCAAGTCTAGCTCGTGCAAAAACACACTCGCCACTCAAGCATAATGAAGCCACAAGCTACTCTCTTCACCACACACGGACATGGGTAAGACCCAGACAGCACAATTATTCAGGGATATACCCACCTGACACCGTCTACTATATACAGAAGGAGAAGGTTGGTGTCACTCAGCAGCAGCTTACAACACGTCACTCACAAGTCATGTGAAACGTACATGTTGTTTGAAGTAATGCTGATGTGCACTGTCACCAACCTGGCTCCATAACATTCTTTCATAACAACATTTTCATAGTATTGACTTTGGTCGACTCAAGGGAATACATCACCCACAAAATACCCATTTGTATGTCAGTCACTCATCCCGTGTTATGTTGAATTCATTAGGAGGATGTTTATCTTGCATGCCTTTGCGGTGAACGTTTCCAAAACTAAAGAAAATTCTGAATGAACTGAAGTAAAGGCGGGCCACTTTAATCAAACTCAAAACAATATCAAACACAACTGTTGCAGTATAACCAGGTCTCATTTATCCAGTCGTTTGCTCAGTGCTTCCCAAACACATGCATTTCTGCTTAATCCTTACTATTTAAAACACCTGTGCACCTGGGAAAGCGCATGTGTTTCATTGCTGCTCGTGCTTTTTATTAAACAGAGTATAAATGCATACACTTGCCCAGGCACGCTGCTCATCTGTGCGTGGGACAGAAGTGTTTCAAATAGTGGAAATGCATGTGTTTTGGAAGTACTGAGCATGCCAGTGGATAAATGAGACTTGGATTATACTGCACGAGTTTTGTAAGAGTTTGTAAAAAGATGTTATATCTCTCTGTTATGATACTCTTTTTTTTTTTTTTTTTTTTGGTTTCAAATCCTTTGGTTGCAATGGAGGCATGAAAGTTTTATGTATGAATTCAATGTAAAATGCAGTGAGTACTGTAAAGGTTAAATTAGTAGCCCGGGCTATTACTTGCTTAAATTACTGAACTTTACAGGCTTATATTTGGGACAGGTCTTTAACCTCTCTAACTCCGCCAGGACGCCGACGTCCGACTTGTCATTTGGAGCTCCGCCTGGATCTTTTCATGGAAAAAACACTGTAGAATGGTCATACTTTGAGCTTCTTCAAATTTGACACAAATGTTCATTGATAGTGTGCCTACAGCCCCACAGTGTCATTTACCTGCTCAGGTGAAGCCACAGACAGTTAAACATCCTGAAACACATTTTTTATTTTATTTTAGGCAAAATCTTCAATTTTTACTGACTTCAGAGGCCCATTACTCTGTCTCTGTATCACCTAGAATGTTTCTGACACTTTCACAAGAAACTTCAGAGAGTTTTCTTTCTGGCAAGACCTCATACATGCATGTAGTCAGAGCGGTTCAGAAGCTACAGTCATTTTAATTTGGGTGTGTCATTTTAGGCGTTTTTGCTACAAAATGGGGGTGGAGTAATTCCTCTCACTCAAATTGTTGCACAGCAAAGACGAGAAATATGGGCAAATTGTTAATTTAAACCAGTGTGAATATTGCTTGTATAAAAAGTAGGCTTCAGATAACATATCAAATATGCCACTTGTTTTATGGCACCGACACAACACAGCTTATTCATAACTTGGATTATTTCTCATGAAAGACTCTCTGATTCTTTTGATTGGTTGACCCTTACGGACTAGAGGAATATTAATAACTTAACGGGTAATGGAGGACTGAACACATATTCTGACTTTATGCTTGACTTTATACTACTTGTTATTTCATCATGCCAGTAGATCTGAATTAATTATGGTCTTCTCCGGTGCTCTTGGTTTCCGTAAAGTGAAATGAACCGAGCTAACGATGTGTAGCATCTCCATACTGACAAAAGTTTAAACGTTTATATCTGTATATGTAATCTAAACAGCTTTCTAACATTAGCTCAAGTGGGTAGTCAACAATCCGGTTTTATACATCCAAAGAGCTATTATAAAATGAACTGCGTGGCAACCAGACCAGGTTTCTAATTGAGACTGGCCTTTATTTGTCTAAATGTGTACCTACATCTGGACTGGGCTTTTATTTTGAAGTTTTATGGTAACTGATAATTTTGAGGGTGACATGTTTCTTTAATGTGTTTTCCAGGAGCTGATCACCACCCTGTACATCGGCTTCCTGGGCCTGATCTTCTCCTCCTACTTTGTTTACTTGGCGGAGAAGGACGCTGTGGATGAGGAGGGGAAGACGGGCTTCTCCAGCTACGCAGATGCCCTGTGGTGGGGCGTGGTAAGGCAGCTTAACTAGAAAATAGAAATACATTACAAGTTCGGCACTGATGTGTTTGTATTCTTGTACTTTTTCCTAAAATTTGTTTTGTTGCAGTGCATATATTACTTGGATCTTGAATTTCAGAGCATAGCTTACACACTTGAAAGGCCACATCACATGAACATGAGAAAAGATTCTTCGCTCTAAAGACCTGTGACAAATAATCTGCACATTGCACACTCAAGTGGAGTCTTAACTGGAAAATGGAAATGTCTGGCCACCCTGGTTAGACCAATTATTACCCCCCTTGTGTTTTTATTCTCCTCACTGGATCTGCGTGAAGCATGCATGCATCGCTGCAACACACACGCAGGTGTGGTGATGTTTTTCGTGAGCAGAGCTGGTTTTGCTTATTTCCCTGTGTTCGGAGGCTCAGGTTTCCAGAGCAGTTAATTAAACATTTGAATTGAAAGCGCAGAGTAATGAGAAACCTATGGCAGCCTTGTGCAGGGGATCAGTGTGCCACAAAGACACGGTAATAAACCATTCACCTCTGGGCTCTTTGGCTCAAAGAACTTTTAGAGCACCAATATAAAGTGTCAGTTCCCTTAATTAAAACTTTAATTGTGGGATTACTACCTTTATGTAACGAGGGTTAGAGGGGTCACGGCGCTCCTTGGTGCTCTATGGAAAGTTGAAGAAAAGCTGTTATTCGTGTTGCTCTGTTCACAATGTCGAGAAAAGAATCACGGTCAGGGATTTGCACCTTTTTGTTTTTGCGAGACTGTAAACTTGAGAGTCATGATATGCCATTACAATAGGTTTGGGCAGGTTTGTGAGTGTTTGTGTGTGTGTGCACTCAGTGAAATGAGACCAGCACTGATTGGAGAATGCTAAGCTCCTCCAGTGTGTATTCCTTCTCTTGGCACGATTTCCATATTCGGATGTGCAGGTGCAGGGCACAGCTGGAGGACAAGCCAGTGCCATGATTCATGTCCCCTCCTCCCTCCCTCCCTTACCTTCCCTGCCTCTCGTCATCCTTTGCCAGTTGCTGATGGTTAGGTAATCGCTGTTTAATTTTAACAACCTCTCTAACGTCAACCAGAACACAGTGTGAAAGCGAAAGTGGGGAAAATGAGAGCTGATTGTTCTAAACTTGCCATTTTGTAGTTGCTGAGCTTATGTAGTTAGATCATATAAACATATGCATACAGCATGCACATACACACTTAAACATATTCAAAGACCAGGTTTGTGACCTTTGTGTGGAGCTGAGGAGGTGTTCACCACACACTCATACATTCTGAATAACAGGGGTGTTTTTTTGAGTAGGCCATTCCACTCTGATGGTCAGGAGGACATTGTTTAGTCATCGGATTTGTGGATGAGGGATTAAATCCCCCACCTCTCCACCAGCCCCCCAACATACACCCACCCACTCTTCCCGCCCTTGCTCCTTCTTTTTTTACCCCCAAAGCCCTTTTAAGTATCTCACCTTACATCAGCCGCTTTGTGTTAGTGCACAACGGTGGCTCACGCGGCACTACTCCATAGACACCCACGGTAAGCCAAGTGTGTTCTGAATGTGTCAGAATTGGCTCGGCTTTCAGAGTGGGTGTACATGCAAATGCAAGAGGTATTTGTTTTCCTCCCCTCACCCCGGCAAATTCCTACACTCACTGAGGATTAGTGGTTGGGAATCTTATTCCCTTTGAGGAGCAAGAGCCTCAAATGCCCCGGCCATCGCTGACAGTTGTGGAGCAAGGCCAGAACGGCTGATGAACTTTCTCTTTATTGTCTAACTCCTGTTATAGACTACTGTGGTGTGGCGCTTTGAGAGCTCGGCACTGACTGACATTTTCATTACGTAAGAAGTTCGTTCCAAATGAGTGGGGATTTCAATATTTCTTTGAATGTAAAATTGTAGTGTTTAAGGGGGAATGATTTCATTTGTACTTCATTTGTATGAGTGAGGTTCACCTGGGATAAAGTAAAGGACAAAGCAGATTCAGCCTCGACCTGCAGTGGTGTAACTTTAACTTTGCTTAAATGTCTTTACCTTTTTTGCATGAGTGCTTTTCCTTCTGTCACATATATGTCTACAGTTAGCTTATAATCATCTTCACAGATTTAAGAGGAACTTTATCCACTCTCTGTCTTCAGGTGACCGTCACCACAATCGGCTATGGAGACAAAATTCCTCAGACGTGGATTGGCAAGGCCATCGCTTCCTGCTTCAGCGTCTTCGCCATCTCCTTCTTCGCTCTGCCTGCTGTAAATATGATTTAAATCTGAATCATATAAACTCATTAGCAGTAAGGAAAGATTTTAATTTTAGTTGTATTATTTCAGCAAGAACCGAATCACAATGTTTGTTTCTGAAACGTTCAGGTGGAAAATCCTCACGTCACGTACATGACATGAAACGGCGTTGAGCAAACGCTGCCTCAATGGCTTAATGTTTAGCCACTTAAGGTTGCCTACCCCTGACTTAGCAGAACACAGGAGTTGCTGGTCTACTGCTGCCTTGATCAGTTAGTGTGTGAGGTAAAGCAGAGAAAATATTCCAAATATAGTGTACACTTTAACTGATAGTGATTTTTTTTTGGTAGATAAAATCTGTTTTGCTGCAGCCCCGTCAACAACAGTATGTTGTTTAGCTTCCTTGCCGGCAGATTTGAGGTATAAAAGATGCTAGCAAAGCAACACAGTACGTAAAATAAGTACAGCAGAAATATCAAATAGGTCTGTAAATCTTTACACAACAGAAATAAACAATTGTGCATATTTTACATATCTCAAAAATTCCAGTTGTCTACCCCGAAGCAACGTCACAATGACTCAGTCTATTACTGTGCAGATTAAATGGAAAAATATTTATTTTTGTGAGATTCTGAATCTGCAGTCCTCATCTCTACACTAAATGTTACATCTTTAATATGATATATCTGCTTGCAACTTAACCCTCTCCGATCAGGGAATCCTTGGCTCAGGGTTTGCCCTGAAAGTCCAACAGAAGCAGAGACAGAAGCACTTCAACAGGCAGATCCCTGCTGCAGCCTGCCTCATCCAGGTACGTTTTAGTATCCATTCAAAGCATATGAGCCCCAGATAGTGTGGTGTACATTAAAAACCAAGTCAGACACAGTCCATGAGTGATTTAACATTTGACACATGGCCTCTATACCAGAGTTTGTATTGGACCCCAGTCATGGCTACCGAGTCTTGTCAATCTTATCCATATTTTTTCAAAGGTGCAAATGTGCACTTTCCAGATCTTGCAAGTGAAAGAAAACATTGGAAACTGAAAAGAGGAAAAAAAAGTAACAGTATTTGTTGTCTACAAATTCCTACTGAGCCATGGAAAAGATGAGCTGTATCATGCTTGCCAAGAGTGAAATGGTAGAGCCGCTATGTTGTGCCAAAAGCTAACCATTACAAGGATAGCAATTATCCCGAACACACTGAGACGGTTTGAACACCTGTGACACAAAGACACCTACCTGCAGGGCACTGAATACATTCTGCAGATCTCCACTTCATTTAGGAAAAAATGTTTTTGTTTTACAATACCACAGAGGAGAACTGCCAATATAAGAATAAAGTGAAACAGTAAAATAACTGGAGACTAATGCAAGTATATAAAAAGAGATAAATCTATATTATATTTGTCTGACATGTAACAAATAAACAGTAGCAACAGAAATATGAAAGTGTTAAACCAAAAGCCACTAGTGTCACTGAATTTGTGGCTAATATAATATTGCTGCATCACTAATAAACGGTTTTACATTTTTACTGTGGAATCAGAGAAAAATAGGAAAATGATTACAGGTTATGTAGATCAACACGTTCACTAACACTAATTTGATGCTTTAATCTCTCCTCCTCAGACACTGTGGAGGTGCTACGCAGCAGAGAAACCAAACGGCTGTGCTGCTACATGGAAAATGTATGTCCTAACTCCAGAGGCCGTCACCACAGTGGAACATGACAACTTCAGCCCCAACGTCAGGAAACTGAACATATCGGTAATCATCCAGTTTAATTTAAAGGTCTAGTGTGTAGGATTTAGGGGGGGCATACTGGCAGAAGTGGAATAAATTGTAAATATATTTTCTTTTGTCTATAATTACATAAAAATTAGGATTGTCATGTTTTTGTTGCTTTAGAATGAGGCGTTTTTATTGACATTTGGAGCGGGTTCTGGTCCACGGTGTCTGCCATGTTGCACCGCCATGTTTTCGAATTTTCGTGTTTTCCTGTCAGCCACCGTACTTAGCAGCCCCTCCGCAACGAACGGAGTAGAATTGGAAAAACGCAGATTTTTTAACATGAAACTGCTTTTTACTGGTTTAAATCTCCTGGTCCATTTGTTTTGGAGAGGAAGAGACCCCTGTAGATAATTCGGCTTCTGGCAAAAACCTCCTGAACACTAGAGAAAAAACGTGAGCACAGATATGTTGGTGCTGGGCTGGTGGGCCATCTCCAACATGCCAAACGGCATTAAAAAAACTCTGATTTGTAACATGAAACTGCTTTTTTTTCAGTGGTTTTACTGGTTTTAATCACTTAGTCCGTTTACTTTGGAGAGGAAGAGACCTCTGCAGATAATTCAGCAACCAGTAAAAATCTCTTCAACAATGAACACTAAGGGAACAACACACTCTCACTCCGACCTCGTCACATATCACCCTTTTTTTCATGGAATTTCCATGTCCAGATACAACGTGAAAGGTACCCTGGTTGTGTTGGTTGCTGACGTTCTGGGATGCCAGGTTAAGTCATGCCTGTTACGGACATTGTCTTCTTTCAAAATACACTTATGTTTCTACAGGAAATTTACCGTTTGCATACAGTCTCTTTCAAAATAAACATACTACGTCAGTACAAGAACGTGAATTGAGGTTTTATTTCCTCCAACAACTAACGCACGTGGTTGGGTTTAGGAAAAAAGAACAGGGTTTGGCTTTAGAATCTAACCCCCAAATTCCACCAGATGCGTGTTGGTTGCGTCTGCGCTCCGGAACGGCAGCGGAGCAGATCCATTTCAATTCCAGTCAGTGTGTGTGCTTCCACCGGCTGCGGCTGTGCTGCATTCCGGCTCCATCACAGCTGCGGCACAGAGCAGATCGTGCGGGGCAGGAAGTCGTGCACAGAAACAAAATAAAGCATCCGGTTAATTTTCAAAATAAAATACACAGTGTTCACGGCGGATCATATTTCCCTGCACTACACCTTGAAAACGTCATAATGGGCAGAGGCAGGCCTGAAGTCAACAGGTCAGAGGTTTTCAGACGTCATTTCACCCCATTGACACCATGGACGAGGAGATGTTAATCATGGACATGCACCGAGATGTCTTCCTACTACTCCTCTGGTTTTGTGGTTCTGTTTATAGAAACTACATCTTGTTATATCATGCGATTATGTGTGAATTCGCGAGATCTCGTGGGTCCTCCTGACTCCCGCTGTCAACGCAGCCGGTGGGTGTTGACGGACAGCGGAGCACGCAGCGGATAACCAGCACAGCTGTTCCGCAATTCCAGTGGAATTCCGGCGTTACAGGACGCCAACACCGCTCCTCCGGGTGAAAGTCTTGGTCGGTGTTTGTTCGACCTGTTCACCACCCCTTTCACCCACTCAACTCAGACTTTCACCGCCTCACCCTCCGTTCTTGTCTGCATTTCCCCTTGACGCTGCATGCTGGTAAATTATAACAACGACCAGCCGCTGACGTCGACGGCTTTTTTCGTCAGTGTCTGACGCCGCAAGTCACTGCCCAAGCACTGGATTTTGACGACTTTGGAGTGAGACCGGGTTGAAAGGAACTGGGAGTTCACGCTTGCGACGTGGGAGCAGTTTCAGCCGGTTGCAATCTGCAGTCCTCACCACTAGAGGCCACTAAATCCTACACACTGCTCCTTTAAAGAACCAAGAGCCAAATGTGTAGTGTGGCTCATGTTTCATTTCAGATTGATTTACTTTCCTTAAAAGAATAGGAGAAGTCTTTCCTTTTAAAACCACTTTATATCCATAAAAGTGTGTCTTTGATGCTGTGGGCCGAGGCACCAGCCTGTGACGTCCTGGCTATGAATCAACCTGGGACATTTTCTCACATCTATTTCTCTTTCACTGTTAATTGTGTCTCTTTGCTTTGATCTAACCAACAAAGGTGAAACCCCACCCAGATAAATAACAGCATTCCGTCTTTAGATTTAATGAGCATCTATTTTCTAATTTCTTGTTGTAGGTGTCTCATCTTGAAATCAAATTGTGGTGTGTGGTACACGTGGTAATTATCATGTATTATTTTCTTTTTTAAGTAGACATTTAAAAGAATGCTTTGAACTCAAGAAGCCTTACACAAGAGCGCTGTCAGGAAAAGCCGTGCGACTGTGATACTGTGGGGCGGATTTGCATACGTCTGGCCCACACCGTATTGTCTCCTTGTGCGGTTCACCTTTCACAACAATATTAGCTATGTTGTGCCTAGGCCATACAGCATAAAAGGGCAAGTTAAGTTCCCACAAACGTACAGACACACACGGAAGGACACACAAATACACGTATATGCAGAAGCCCCCCCCGCCCTCCTCACCCCCACGGCCTGACTCTACCAGGATGACTCGAGGCCTTTGTCTCGGCCGGACAAAGACTCAGTCAGTTGAGATGATGTCACCGCCGCCTTTCTCATGGGAGTAAACCTTTGTCTAGTAGAACAACAACAAAAAAATCTTTGTGTAGCATTGAACCCACATGTATTGGGGAGAATGAAGGCTGCTTCCGCTCTTTTCTGTTCCAGCATGTGACTTTCTCCGTTGACTCTCCTCGCTCTCCCCTTTCTCTGTCTTTCAAGATTCCTCTCCTGTTTCTTCTGTGTTAAACAGACTTAATTTCACTCTTTCTTTTTCCTCCCTGCTCTTCCTGTCTCCTCTCTTTCTGTGCTTTTTCCTCCGCCTTGTCTGTTTCTGTCTCATTCTTGCTCACTGTGTTCTCCCCCTCTCCTGTTTATATCCAGCTCCATCAGTCTGTTTCTTTATCTTTCTCTCTTAAACTCAGTGTCTGTTACAGTTTCTCTATGCCCTTCCATCTTTCTTTCCCTTTTTTTTTTTCCCTCTTTCAGCCTTACGACACCCACCACCACCTCCCTCTCCCGCTCTCTCAGCTAATGAGTCATTCAAACCTCGGGTATTTGGAGTGAACTGCTGGCCACTTGTCAATGCCAAAGTCTGATCCACTGAGTCCTAATAATTGAGTTTCCATAAAGGCCACGTCCATGACGTTGGTTTGGGTCAGTGGGTCTAAAGATTGGACTGGAGGCACTATTTAGGCCCTCAGAAACTCACTGACTCACACAGCACATAGCTATGATCTCAAAGAAACGGAGATTAAACATGTACTGCTGATGTCACCAGTGTGTAAGCCCAAAGTTTGGTAAGATGATGATGTATAACAACAGTGTGAACCATACAGGTACTAACAGAAAAAAGAGTGGCTTTTTAACACTAACTAATGCTGAAATGGCCGCGTAAGTTCACTCATTGCTCAGAGAACAGGTTTCCTGGGCGATTTTGACCGTCTGAAATGCATCCAAGTGTGCTGTGTTGTTAACAGGCTTGCACTTTGATTGAAGTGATATGCAGCTGTAGTGTTACAAGCTTGATATGCACGTTCAATGGAGTGTAAATGATTTACAGTTAGACTTACTATAATCCCTACATCCACTATTCGTCCGTTTAAGATGTAAGGCTGCATCTATCAGCCATAGGCTTTAATGGAATTTTGGCTTAGCGTCTACTGACACCGTACCATTTATTTAACAGTTATTTAAATAGATGGAAATAAAAAGAGCAGAAATAAAAGTCCTCAGAAATAAATGAAAGTAATCCCTTGAAAAACATGACTTTAAAGATATAAATCTATTTAAGTGTTGAACTATATTGACTCATATATTTACATTTTTTTGTATATTCATTGCCTTGTTTATTCATTTTAGGATATGTGTGATAGTCATGGTGGGATTGTGGTGCAGTTGTTAGTATTGTCACCTCACAGCAAGAGGGTCGTGGTTCAAACCGGGGGGGGGGGGTACGTGCGGGTGGAGTTTGCATGTTCTCCCTGTGTCAGCGTGGGTTTTCTCTGGGTACTCCAGCTTCCTCCCACAGTCCAAAGACATGCAGGTTAATTGGTGACTCTAAATTGTCCGTAGGTGTGAATGTGAGTGTGAATGGTTGTCTGTCTCTATGTGTCAGCCCTGTGATAGTCTGGTGACCTGTCCAGGGTGTACCCTGCCTCTCACCCAGTGTCAGCTGGGATAGGCTCCAGCCCCCCGTGACCCCTAACTGGATAAGAAGTTATGGAATGAATGAATGAATGTGTTATTTTATTTTATAGGCATATTGAATTATTTATATATTTGTTTTTTTAATGTTGACTTAAAGAGGCAACAGATAGGATTAGGTTTTTTTTAGCTTGGCGCCACCTAGCGTCAGTGGTGTTGCGTCGCACTGTCGCAACGACCAAATTGACCGTGGGGATCAGAGATAATCAATAAAATGTAGGCTGTAAAGCCACCAGTATACCTCTATGTATATGTAGACTGAGAAGGTGTGTGGACACTCTACTAAATAAATGAGTAAAGAGACCGAGCAACAATTATCAGATTGATCTGAAGAAAAAACAAATAGTAATGCAAATAATTATAGCAGAATGCACAGTACCAGTACAAACAACTCACAGTAAATTATACCAATATGTACAGTATCAGTACAAACAACAGTAGACACAGTGGAATTATACCAATATGCACATGTAAACAGTCCCCATTCTAGAATAAACAGTACCGTATGGAAACAATGCGGCCGGTTGGAGCTCAAATTGAATGAGAAACAAAGTCCAGTGTTCACTTAGCTGGGTGTAACTTAGCTGGGCGATGTCCGTGGATAGCTGCCTCCGTGAGCGGAGAACAGAAGGAAGGGAGGGGGGTATCACTGTCTGAGGGCTGCCGCAGAATGGCAACCAGGATGTCAGCCGACCAACACTCGCTACCCGCTCCCTGGTTGTGGCGATTTGCGATGCTGGCCAGCTAGGAATGAACTAGCAGCCAGTACAGTACAGTCCTCTCTCGTCTAGCTAACATTTAGCCGTGTTACTTACTGATCCATTAGAAAGAAAGCTAGCTGGACATTGGTTTTGAAGTCTCTTTGGTCACGGAGCTCCCTCCATTTCTTTAACGCCTGACTGAGGTTTACTCTTGTTTTTCCTCTTCTTCTATCACTCTCCTTTTTGCTCTTCTTTGCCTCCTCAGACAGAGGAGCTCATTTTCTTTTGCCAGGCCGTTTTTCACTTGTCTCCAAACTTTGTCCGTCTGCCATTGTGCTCGTGACTCAACTATCTCATGCCCAACTCCTCATAAGGACCAGCTCCAGTCCCTGATTGGCTGACCGACCAGTTTGGCAATACATGACGTATTTCCTGCTGTAAAGCAGATTTTTTTTGAGAAATTTTGCCCCCGGTGGCAGAAGCTTATTGCAACGATTGCACAGCTACTGAGTAACCTGTGTAAACGCTGATAGTCTGATTTTACTGTGGCCACTACCCTGTGCAACCCACATTATTTTCATAATGACATATTTAGGAAAAGATGCTATCTGTTGCCTATTTAAGTCCAATTCAATAGTGGTGGCATTCAGACAATTCAAAAAATTAGTTCAGTTAAAAATAAAGGGGTTGGGGGAGTGCAGTATGAGGATGTGGGAATATATTTTAGAATTAATTATATGCAGTAATTAAATCAATGTGATGCGCTGAAGGCACAACAATTTCATCACCAGTGAATTTTTGGTTAGAAAAACCAACATTTGCCCAATTCAACATGACTTGTGGCCAAACAGTGGAATTACACTGTCACGTGATGCTCTGTGGCTAAAAAAACCTTTTCCCATTGACTTACATGGCGAAAGAGACGTGTATATCAGTACATAAAATTTTTTTCAAGGGTCACAATCCCTGTGAAATGACTCGTTTCAGTATCAGGTTTTGATCCATTCGGCTCGATAACATTTTGAAAGTCTAGGAGAGCTGCATGAACAAATAATTTTATCCCCATTAAACTGAAAGATAGCTGCTTGGCCGCTCCAAGTCTCCAGTGCGCTTGCTCTGTGGAAGGCATGGTGCGGAAGTAGTGCCGATCATCCTTGGATCATCTCGGTAATTTTATACACAGCAGTTGAACCATTTTCACTTCATTCGCTATATCCTGTTCTCTTAATACATCCATGGATACAGATACAGAGATAAATACTGGTGTCTCGGTACACCTCTAGTGAAGAGAGCTGCTTTAGGTTACAAAAATGGCTGCTTTGTCTCCAGTCTATATTACTTGTAAAAGGTTTGCTGGTTGATAATACTATTGGCTGCAACGTCAGTTTGAACTTTTTGGTTTATGAGACGAAGACGCGGTCCAAATCTAATAAAATCTTTCTTGCCACAACAGTCTCATGCTGACATTCCTGTCTGCACAGATAATACAGAAAACACAGAAACACCAGGAAGAAACATTATAGACAAAGCTTAATGCAAACAGCAGTGAATTGTTTTCTGGAAACATTAACAAAGGCCTTATAGATACTGTAGCATCACTGACAACCCACCCCTCCAAGAATCACCACGTTATTGCAGCAGAGGGATTTGCATGCTCCTTTTTTGTCAGCCTCCTAAAATAACTTTACGTCTGAGGCATGATAATAAAGATTCTAAGTCCTGACACATTTCATGTTTATTAACTGGGTTGATGTTTCCTCTGTCTGTCAGAAAAAGGGACCCAAGAGGAGGTTGAAGTCCAGAGGAAATGGCGCCATGGGTGTGGGCTCAGAGAGAGCTGTATCGATCCCCCAGATCACCTACGACCACATTGACGACTCTGAGGAGAAGAAAGACGTCCCATTTTTCCTGGAGGAGCCGAGAGGAGCTGTTGAAGGTAATACAAAGAGCACTGCTGTCCTGTTACTGTGATGCACAGTATCCAAACTGATATCAAGTAAATGCAAAGGGTCACTGCCGCTCATGTTTCAGTCTAAGGTTTACTAACTGCACTGCATGTTTTTCAAAGAAAATCATCTAACGTCTATGAATCTATGAGTTGCCTTTCTTCCAACATCTCAGTCCCAGACAAGTCAACTCGCCAAGATTATACATGAAAGCACTGAGCCCTGTTTTATTACTGCTTGATTAAACTGACTTCATTTTGGACTTCTTAATAACAGAACTTTTATTCCTGAACTTGACACCTCAGAATGCTGTGTTCTGTGAAGCTGTTTTTTAAGGTGTTTTTGAATATCGTTGTGAAGCTATCTTTGCTGTTCTAATGCAGTTAAAGGCCAGCTGGCAACCAAGCCCGCCTGTGTCATGTGGAGGACATTTTGACGAAGTGACTTACTGCAGTAATGAAACCAACATTTTTTTTTTTTTTCCTGTTCCTCTTAATACACTTTTGTTTGATGAAATAATGTGTGTTGAGGGCCGTGAAATGATGTCATGGTGCCTTGAAGGCCTTGGAAATCCATTATTTCCGTAAAAGTTTGATGTGTTTTTGCATTCAGGGCATTGAAATGGCCAAAACAACTCCATGATAAATTACATTTTTATGGTACTTGCTTTAGAAATATTAGCTGTCAGCTTGTACTTTTGTGTTGGCAAGTGTTTCTCCTTCTTATGTTTGGATGCCTGTGAAAATATATACTGTAGATAATTCTGTCGCCAGCCTAACAAATCTAATAATGCACATATTGTTTTTACACATTTAGGCTAGTAGAGTCACCGCAGACATTTTTACTGTGTCACATAGGCGCTCACTCTACATTCTGTTGGGTGCCTACCTCTTTTTCTACGGCTGCATGGTGAGAGAAATCATAATAACTCATCTCATTAGTTCATTTTTTGTGGAGCTATATATTGGTAAGACGTGATACATGTGTGAGCAAATCTGGCAGCAGCAGAAGGTAGTGATTATTTATGTATACTGCGTAGGCCAAACTCTCGATAGCCTGCCAAAAACTGGTGTGAGTACAAGCCCAAGCACAGCCTCTACAGAGTCGTTAGCATGGCTGGAGACTCATAATTAAAATTCTGTCATTATTATTAGGGGTGGGGGGAAGATCGATATAGCATAATATTGCAAGAGACTTGTTTTTATAGTAAAAAGAATATTTATTAATGTGCACATAAGAATGAAAAATGTGGAAAGTCTTTGGCGATTAGACCCCGTATGGATGGTGTGATTTAAGGAGGGTGATGAATCTGTAGTCAAATAGGGAACTCCTTCCCTCATGTCTGACGCTGGTGGTGGTAGAGGTGGTGAAGATGAGATGAGAGGAAGATGGAGAAGTGCTGATGAGTGTTGAGCTTGTCCTGGACTCTGGATACGATGGCTGGAGGTGAACGAGGTGGAGGAAGGTGCAGCAGATCTGCCGACAATGACAGCTGACAGCAGCGGAGGAGGGAGCAGATTTGAAGTTTTGCAGTGGCATCCTGATTGGCTGATAGAGATCGTGGCAAAGTGTGATTGGATAACTAGAGGAGTGAACACCCATAGTCAGCTGATCAGAGGGAGCAGTGGGAGTGGGAGGGAGAGAATTGTGAATGGATGAGCACAAAGAAAGTCTCTCTGATTGAACTTACACTGAGCTTCATATCAATACACAAGTGCCATTTTTTGGTATATAAATGATTAATATGGCAAATCCAAATTAAACTTTTGGTGGCTTACTAGAATAATAAAATCAGTTGCCTTTTTAGTCCACTACTGTAGAGCCATGTTGCTGCAGTAAAAAGAATAGAAGTGAGATGGACGGACCGAAAACTTCACCTTAATAGTTAAAGCAGATTTAATTACTGGTACTAAGTCTAGTGTCACAGTAATATTGTATCATGACTGAAAGAAGTGTCACTTCAGGAAAGATGCTCTTTTTATAAATCTGGGTTGTCTATGCAGTCAAGAGATGCAAATGCTGTTAAAACTGTTGCTACATGACCAGAGAAAACAGAGATAAAGGGCTGTGGCATTTGCTTTTGCTCAAGAGATAGAAAACCTACAACTACCAGAATGCACTGCACCACAGTAGCTCAGAGGTAGAGCGGGTCGTCCACCAATCAGAAGATCGGCAGCTCAGTCCCTGGCTCCTCCAGTCTGCATGTTGAAGCATCCTTGGTCAAGATACTTAACACAACCTCTCCACAACGCTCTGGTCGAACAGAGGAGCACCTTCAGTCAGAGACTGATTGCTCCTAAATGCACCACTGAGCGCCACAGGAAGTCATTCTTACCTGTGGCCATTAAACTGTACAACTCCTCCCTCTGATGATCGGACTCATTTGGCTATTTATAAAACAAAACACACAATATAATTACTCATTCTTATTTCATTTATAACGCTACAACCATTTCATTGTATATATTTCAGATTGTCTACTTTACTATTTTATTATTTATTTTATTTTATTGTCTACTTTAATATTTTATTTTATTTTATTTTAATGTCTACTTAAATATTTTATTTTATTTATTTCATTGTCTATTTTAGTATCTTATTTATATCTTCATCTTTATCTCTTGTTTCCATTCATGCTGTATTTCTATTTCTACTTTGCACGGAGCACTGGAACAAAACCAATTTCCCCCCGGGGATTAATAAAGTATTCTGAATCTGAATCTGAATCTGAATTAACCCCACATTGCTCCCGAGGGCTGTTCCATTGGTGGGTGAGTGTGTGTGAGTGGTTACTGAGTGGCAGGTGGCACCATGAGGCTGGGTATGAATGGGTGAATGTGACACACAGGGTAAAAGGGCTTTGAGTGGTCGGAGGACTTGAAAAGTGCCGTAAAAGTGCAGCAAAGTTAAACACGTTCCTGAATATTTGTGGCGAGAAACAGGCAATGCAGTAACAGAATCTCGGTTCATATTTGATCAGCGCTGCTTAGATTTACCGTTTGATTTTTTCAGCCTCCCTTTTTACAAAACAGGAAACAGTAGGGCCCCTTCTTCCTGTTCACAAGTCCCTCACAAATTCTCATACTGCAGAAGTACACTAAAATATGTTTCTGAAGACAATTTAGGTGAGACATATACAATACAGTGACAAAATCTTGGTTTATATTTGATCAGCACTGCTAAGTTTTACAATTTAATCTGAGTTTGGTGTGAGTTTGAGAGAGTTTGTGTCTGTGGTGGTGGACACACAAAAATATTGACGTACAATCTGTAGTTTGAGCAACAGCCCTAGATCAGCAAAAATCTGCCATGGAGGACAGTTGGATGGAGATGGAGGGAAGTTTACCACAGTTAATTTACACATAGTGCCTACACTGTCATGATACAAAGCTGGTTGAAAATCAGCAGGAAGTATTGTTACAATATGGTATCCTAGGGCCTCTGTAGCCTGGAAATCCAGACCGTATCCGGTCGGCAAAACAGCAAAAATGTCCTTCTTGCAAAGGAAAGACTCGAGCGCCGTCTTCTTTTCCTCTTTTAGAGAAAAAGTCTAACTCGTTCATTGTAGCAGCCAAAGCCATTTCAAACAACTGGTGTTCATCCGTAGCCATCTTGCAATGTTTACTGACGGATTCTGGACTTCGTCGTAGCAGCACTGTCGTCATCTGTTTAGCTCGCCTCTGGCCCGCCTATATCAGATACACCGATGTGATTGGTGCAGCTCGGCTCCAACGGCATGGGTAATGAGCATCATTACTGATTGCCAGAGTGACTCACTGAGCAAATTCAAATTGTGCTCTCGCGGGAACTCTGGATTTCCAGGGTAGGGCCTTTGGTGATTCCCACCCCTAATTATTATACTGCTGTTGATCTCACTTGAAGCACAGAGTGATTGCAGAATAGAGAACCTCTTTAATGTGGTTTTTAGAGCTAATCTCTCGCAAAAGATTACAGTTTGGTTCCCTCAGTTCATATATACAGTGGAGACCCTTAAACGTTATAGGATGAGTTGTTATGTGCCACTTTCTCATTTTCACACAGTAAACAGAGGCCCTATCCTGATCCCCTTAGACCCAAGATGGCTGCCAGGTGTCTTCAGTGGGCCAGATGGAAGCCATTACAGTCTCAGTGGTGATTAGAGGTCATGGTTACAAGCTCTTTACTGCTTCACTTGTCCCCCTTTGCCGGCCATAGACACACACTGCGCTTAAGTGGAAAAAAACTTTAAAATACGGGCTTGTCAAGGTTACAAGTGGGAATTTCTTGTTACTACTTGCAGATTACCAATATTGCTGCAGTCAGGCCAAAGCCAAGTTGTGTTTTCTTTTTGACATTTGACAAAAATGATGGCATTGATTTTAGATAACTCAGTATCCAAATCCAAATATTAATTGTTGCCAGCGCTCATACATAACAGTAGAAACTATAGTTTATAAAATGCACATCTATACACACAGTACAGAATCAGTGGCTGGTTGGTTGAAGGGGTTGGCGGTTTAACTTCCTGTCTTAAAAGCCATCCCCGCCAAATGAACTGACCCAGACTCCAGGTTAATAAATGCACTTTATGAGTTTTTCCTGTCAAAGCGTGCCATCATAAAAGGAGCTGGAGTGACATAAACTTGACATAAAGGCAGACCATCACTAGAAGAGCAACCACTTATGAGGGGAAATGTTGTTTCGTTTCCTGCTTAATTGGGTGGATCTTAGATAACGAAGGAAAACACATGTCTTAAGTACATGTGGAAAAAGCAATCAAATCAAACTTGATGTCAAACCAGTTAAGCAGCACAGTTTATCCAGTATTCATTCACATATTTACCAGCAACAAAACATAGTTTTAGATACTTTTTTGCTCATATAATCACTGAATAAACATAACATAAACACACATGGTGAGACTGTGAAGTGGAAAAATGAATTGGCCGAGCTGCGTGACATGAAACCATGTGAGGAAGCCTGCAGCCTGCTGTCACTAATGATAATGTGCAGAGTTGAAACAGCGTGGGACTGTATGATCTCTGCTTCTGATCCAGCCATAAAACAGGCATCTGCAATGTCAACTGTCTGCACCAGAGCTGCTGCTTTTATATTTATTGTTTTAACCATCGCTGTTTTCAAAGAGTAATGGAAGCGTAACACGCATTCGATTTTTGTTTGTTTTATAAAATAGTACTTGTCTTAAATGGCAGACTGGTTTAATTTAGATTTTGCAGTTGGGGTTTAAGAGTCAGCCAATAAAAGCTGGCATGGTAATGCTGTTTGGTTGTTTGCAAACTAAGTACATCATTGCATTAAGGGAAAATGTGCATGACTAGAAATGTCATCTGTGCTTTATGCTTTTCCCAAACTGTCTTGAACGCTTTTTACTGCTGGTTATAGTCATGGATGTATTAAGATACCTGGATACAGCAGTGGGGGCAGGCCCTTGTTCATTCCTGTGAGAGCTGCTCAGTAGTGCATGAAGTGAAAAAAGCTTTATATCTGTGGTATGAAATTACTCAGATGATTGGTGCTGCTTCTCCATCACTGGGCCCATAGAGTAGATACGTCAAAGACTTACGGCCGCCAACCTCAGATGAGCGCGCCTGAGAGCAATCCGCTAACGTGAATGGGGTTAAAAAAATGTAATCTTGCAGCTCTTTTAGAGTTTCCAAATGTTATAGGATCGAACAGATTAAATCTTGATAGTGAAACGAGTCATTTTGCAGGGGTTGTGACATTCAAAAAAATGTATCCACTGATTTACAGACGTCTCTTTCCCATTGTGAGTCTATGGGAACAGCCTTTTTAGGCCCAACAGCATTACGTGACCAACCCTGGAAATTGTAGTACCACTGTTTGGCCACTACGAAAATTGGCTTCAAGGCCTGGTGCACTTCCTGGGGACCTGGTTATAGTGCTGTCTTTGCTTACTCTTTGAACTTGCAATAACTCTTTTATTTGTGGCCACATGGGTGCAGCGGACTTTATTTGATTTACTCAACTTGTTAGCAAACATTTGCTTATTTACACATCCAGCATTTATTTACAGAAGCAACTTTGGCATTCATTTGGTGACGTGTTTCTGTCCAGTTGGTGAATGTGAGGCTAATAATCACTCTCTTTTAGCTCTGTCTTTGGTCTCCACCAGCTCCTGAGGGAAATATCTGGCTCTTTAGCTGCTAAATGTTCCGCTATGTTAACCAGCTAGTCGCAAACTGTGTTTGTCTGCTTTTTGGTGGCAGATAGTGTGCGTGGGTTTTTAGACTGAAAACAGCGCTCTGCTATGGCCAAAAATGACACTTTGAGAGCGGTCACAGTGAACCAAAAAAACGATGTTGTTGGCCGGACAGCTTAGCAATGAGCTGAGACTTGCGAAAAAACTTTGTAAAGCTGAGAGCCGCTGCAGATTCAGGTGATATTTTATTCTCCTCACCGAGAGGAGAGGATCAGACTTGACTGTCTAGAGGAAGTTAATGTCATAACAAAGTTTCCGTTGGTGAAGATGCAGAAGGATCAGTTGTCAATTGAGATATTCTTATAACAGTGGAAACCGCTTTTGGATCAAAAAGTTTAGGACAGAATCATTTCTATGCAAATGCTGTTTAAATGATATCATTATAGTAATCATGTACATGTAGTCCAGGTACTGTATTAATTTAGGGTCTTTACATATATGATAACATATTGAAAACCAATTTTAAATTATTATTCTTTTTTATCGTTACTGGTCGTGGTAACCCGTCTGCTTCCAGTGGGCTACCTAAGTCTGGTGTTGCGTGCACATTGAAATCACTCCAGGAAAAAGAAAGTCATTTTCTCTCAATTTGAAATATAGTCTCCTCGAAACTTACAACAGCTAGTCATGGCTGTTATGGAGACAGAACACAAATGCACATGGAGAAAGCACATGTGGTTGAAGTCACTCTCATCAGGTGTATCAATAATGCACCTGCACTTGTATCGCGCCTTTGTAGTCTTCTGACCATTCAAAGCACTTTTCACACTTTGAGTCACATTCACCCATTCAGACGCACATTCATACACTGGTGGCCGAGGCTACCGTACAAGATGCTACCTGCTACTCAGCTTTAACTCTCAGTTTGAGATTCACCATCTTACTCAAGTATGTTTCGACATGCAGACTGGAGGAGCCGGGAATCTTCCCAGTGGACGTCCACTCCACTCCTGCTTATGTAATAAAACATCTGTCCTGTGTTTTAAAACAGGCAATAAGATGTAGGAAATAGCAAAGCTGTCCATTTAATTACTTTATATTCATGTAATTTATATACAATTGTCAATTTGATGGTAATTTGCATGAGAAATTAAGAAAACATAATGAATTCAAGGCAAGTACTTGGCAACAGACATCATATTTATTATTTCACGGTCAAAAAATGACAATTTGTACAGTTTCTGTTTGGGTACTATCAGCTCTGTTAAAAAATTAATTTGGAGGCTTTTCTGGTGCAGAAATGGACATAAAATCAATCATATTCCAACTAAGAAGGAAATTATTCTGCAACAAAAAAGGTTGTTGTGTTGCCCACCGGAAGTGTTGTTGATTACATAAGTTGGAAGGAAGTGTCATTGTTGTGTTTCAGTCCCATATTAACGATATTTCCGCCTTTCTTTGCAGGAATCACCAGACTCTTCAGACAAACAGGTGAGTCCTTTTAACTCCATCACAGTCGCACTAAATGGGTTAAAGGGATAGTGCGCCCAAAAATGAAAATTCAGCCATTATCTGCTCACCCATATGCCGAGGGAGGCTCAGGTGAAGTTTTAGAGTCCTCACATCTCTTGCGGAGATCCCAGGGGAGAGGGGGTAGCAGCATAACTAAAAGGCTAAAAATGACATTTTTCCAAACAACTTTTTATGTCAGACGAGCAGTATGGAGATATTTTGCAGTTTCAATTATGTGTTTTTGGACATTTGAATCTGGGGCGCCGTCAGCCTGCATTAGGTGGAGTTGTGTTGCTACCCCCTCTCCCCGGGGATCTCCGCAAGGGATGTGAGGACTCTAAAACTTGACCTGAGCCTCCCTCGGCATATGGGTGAGTAGATAATGGCTGAATTTTCATTTTTGGGTGCACTATCCCATTAACCAGGGATTGCAGGTTATGACGTTTTGTTACAGAAACGATGTCAACAAATAAAAGTTTCCACTCCATTATCTTGCATGTTAAGGCAAAATCCACGTGACAAGAAAACTGAGACTCTTTTATATCCCTGTTGTTCTTTGTGAAAACGGCAAACACAAAGAGTTAGTATGTAGTGCGTGTGATCACTGCACTGTCTAACCAGTCGCCCCTTCCCCTGGTTAAGTACTTCTTTTTCTCCTATTAAAAAGTCCTCTGTGTTAATCATTAGCTAGCCTGCCTTTTTAATGTGGCCCAGACAGTATTTTAATTAGACTCGCTGGCTGGCTGGGCCTTTGTCCCCAACCGGACCAAACCAGAGCCAAGCAGAGAGACTCAGACACTGGTCCTGGGTTGACCTGGCCTGTTTTCTTTACTGGGTGCCCTGCCAACACCACGGGTGAGGAACAGGGCTGCCCTGGCGGGGAATGGGCAGGACCGTGGGGACCTAGACTGGGACACTAAAGAGAGGGAGAGGGGGAGGGTGGGTGTGCGGAGTTGATAAGCGGCCATTGTGGAGCTCCAGTGGTCAGAAATAAACTGGGCATTGTTTGATTAAGTCAGTGTCCGGCTTATCGCTCCACTTATCTGTCTGGCCCGACCCACCTCCCTGTCTGTGAGAATCTCTCAATGGAGCGCCCTCTCTATCTCAGAGTCATGTATTCTTTCTCTCTCTGTCTCCTGACCTTGGCTCACTCTCTCCCAGCCAAACACGTTTGCACTGATGGGCCAGATAAAACTACATATTGTGAATAAACCCTTATCCTGTTTGTGTAGCCGATAAGCCGGTTCACGTCTCCGTCAGTGAGCTGATGTTGATGCTAAAGGTGGCTCTTGTTAGCTCTGGTTACCCTCCTCCCTTCTCTTTCTCTCCTTCCCCCTGCCCTCTCTTTCTCAATTGCTTTCTACCCGCTTCCGGATTGGACAATGTTAAACAAACCCGATGATGGAATACGAGAGAGGTTGAATGGATTTTTTCTTTTTGCTTGAATTGGACTGGTCATTCAAACACATTTGCCTCTCCATTCTTTATCACAATGGAGGCCTGGTGGTTTGTTGGAGAGACTTGTCAAAGTCAGACGCTGACAGTCTGACTGCAGGTCAAGACCTCGCTACACATGTTGTTCTTTGCTGTTGTTTTTAGTCGTGCCAGCAGCCGGCCAGCTGCACTGTGGAGCAGGAGCACGGCGAATTCTGTTTCCTCACATAAACCATTCAGAAATATGTAACTTGAATACTTATTCCCAACTGATGAAGGATATTTCCTCCCTAAAATTACATTTTGTATCCTTAAAGAAACTACATAGCACTTGTGCATCAAACTGTGTAAACCCATTGTTATAAAGGATGTCTGTTTCAGCTTTTTTCCTGTCTTATTTTCTTCCTTCTCCTTTCTTTCAATTACTCTTGCATGACATCAGGCCCTCCTCATCACTCTTGGTCGTCTTTCACTCTGAGCTGCCCTGCCTCTCCAGGTATCTTCCTGTTTCTTTGTGTGTGCTTTTGTGTCTCTCATACTCATAATTAAATATATCTGCACTTCTCAGCTTATTCTGCCTCGGACCATAACTTTGTCATTTGTCTTAAAATTTCAAACTATTATTCAACTTAAAGGGCCAATGTGTAAGATTTAGGGGGCTTTAGTGGCAGCTAGCAGTGAGGATTACAGCTAAAGCTTCTCCGGTTAGAATTCCTTAAGTATTTAGGAGGTTTTAACCGGGAGCTGAATTATTCCCAGAGGTCTCTCCTTCTCCAAAGCACAATGGTTAAGTGATTATAAGAGGGGAAAAACACTGAAGAAAGCAGTTTCACATTACAAGTCAGTGTTTCTCTGTTGCTGTTCAGCACGTCACTGATAATCTGATAACCTCATGTGTGCTTAACTGTCTTGCGATCCAGACGCTCAGGAGGTTTTTACCAAGAGCTGAATTATCCGCTGAGGACTCCACCTCTCTGAAACAAAGGGATCCAGTGATTTAAACCTGAATAAATCAATTTAATGTAACAAACCAGTGTTTTTCCTACCCTGTTTGGTTCGTCAGAGACCGGCCGCAAGCCCAGCATCTGCTAATTTGTGCTTAACTTAAATCCAGGTTTTTATTGTGAGCTGAATTTTCCGCAGAGGTCTCTTTCTCTCCAAAACAAATGGACCTTGTGATTTAAAGCTACTCTTACCTTTCTTGCATTTCATACAGCACTTAGAAAAAATCTGAACATCCAAAACTCCACCTCCCTCCAAAGGCCTACTCCCCGCTCCTCCATTACGTCCTCATTACGTCTGTGATGGACATAGGTGTTGGCAAGGTAACGTTAGATACACGGAAGAGGAGAGCGACTGATGAGTTTTAGAATAAGGTTGCAGTGCTAACGTTAGATACTAGCGTTAACGTTACTAGTAAGTGGAAACGCACAAGGAATGTTAGGCGAGCGGTTACGTCAGTCGGAGCCCGGAGGGGAAGACAGACAGGATGCTCGGCCAATTGGTCAGAGTTTTCTTAGAACCGCATAAGAATGGTACAATTATGAGTTTTTATCTCTGGTGGAATTCACTTACATTTTAGTGTGCCATCAGCTTATTAATAGCATTTTAACCTAAACAAAGAAAAGCGTAAAATTTCCACAAAGTTAAGTGTCGCTTTAAACCGGTAAAAATAATGAATAAATGTAAATAAAAAATGTTAAAAAAAAATCAGTGTTTTTCCAATGTTGCTTGTCGTGGAGGGGCGGCTATCTATGGTGGCTAACACGAAAGCAGGTATGGCCCTATCTAGAGCCACTTTGTCCGTTCTGGGCTACTGCAGAAACATGGCAGTACAATATGGTGATCTCTGTGGATCAGGACCCGCTCCCTATGTCGATATAAATGGTTCATTCTAAGGTAACAACAACTCAACAGTTCCTTTTTTCAGGTGATAATACACATCAAGAAAACATAATATGCCAATATGTCCTCCTAAATCTTATGCACTGGACCTTTAATACATGAAATTAATTCCTCTATGATGATTTTTTGCATAACTGGTAGTGTCAGAGCTCTGCAGTGCAACATTCACATTTTTTCTTTCCAAAAAAAAAAAAAAAAAAATTCAGCAGATCTAAATTTGTATATGGTTTATCAGCCTGCAAATATTATCTGTTGTCTCTGTCCTTTGCAGTAAGAAGGAGTCATGATCACAGCACCTCCATTGACATCTCCCGCGCCAACAGCTTAACAGACGAGCTGGACTACATGACTGAGGACATTCCCCTGCCTGTGGTGACAGCTCAGTAAGTCCCGGCAAACTTCCCCTCTGCTCTTCTCTGGAGCCCCCGTCTCCCTCCGATCCATCACCCTGCACTGACCTCCATTCTTTGATACATATAATACTGATTTCCCTACTTGTCCTCGTACCTAAAGGCCTTTTGTCAGACCAGAGAGCCCCTCTGGCTGCTCTCTAAATGAAGTTGTTTTGTTGAACTCTCTTGAGGGTTAAAGAGACTCTCGAGGGCCAGGGCCATATCAGGTACAGAGAGTTATAAAGGGGATTATCCCTTTAGTCTCGAGGGAAATGTCAAAGAAATCCCTCTCAATAGGTTGTAGGACATGTTAAGGTACCGGATGGCTTGTCACCACATGCCCTCGTAGGATTGAGAATTCACTGCTGTCGGTCGCTGTGTGAATGCCTGTTCCTTCCTCCCGCTGACCTGCTCATTCAAATGAGTTTCATTAATGTGAACCAAAATGTAATTCTGGTGTAATTGGATTTTCTTGGCTTCCTGTGTCAACGTGTTGTAGCAGAGCATGTTAATGACTGCTGCACAAACACTTTACTCCCCATTATTTCCCCACTGTCTGCTGCTTTTTCACCAACAGACCAGTTCTCCCACTGCCGTGTTTTCACATGTTTACACTATCTACAGTCACTACAAGCGCTCACACAGAAGCAAAGTGGAAGGGCTTTGCACAGACAACATGTCAACACTATTGTTTGGCTTAATCCCAGCAGTGGGAGACTGCTGGAGTGCCTTTCCCACTGGGACCCAGTCATGTAGCTTCATTGCATACAGATTAGGTGATTACATACCGAGCAGGCAGGTATTACTAAATCCAATGGGACTAAATGCAAAGGGTTAGATGCTTCAATAGAGTCTGGGCTTTAAAAAGCTTGAATGCTACACATGGCTGCTGTGTAGCTGATGTTGTGTGTATAGTTGTTGCCTCGTCAGTTTCAAACGGCACCGTGCAGCAGTGAGAGCTCCACAGTTCAGTTCAGTTCAGTTTAACACGGACAATTAACAACTTTCTTCTTCTGTCTTTTGATTTGTGTGCGTGAATGATTAAGGTGAGAAGCCGCCCATGTTTCACTTTCTCACATCGCCCAAGCTGTGAGTTGCACATGTGTGCGTGTGTGTGCACTGCTGATGTTACACGATGTCAATCATGTGGCGTGGCGGAAATTTGACCCGCGTTTTAAATCGGCATATTTTAGACTGACCGGCCAGTCACAGGTCACGGCCGATCATGTGAAAACCGGCCCGATTCCGAGCACTGCCAATTAATCGGTGCAAGTCTAGTTACAACATACTGTATATAGGTTTTCAAAAAGACTGAATGTAGTAGCTACATGATAACTATGTTTACAGGCACAAAATAGTCTGGTTTTTGCCTTTATTCTGAAACAGCAGTCCTACTAAGCTGTTTACATGGCTAATGAAAATGGATATTTCACTAATATTCCTGTTTACATGCAGCCGAACATCCTCCGATTGATGTGCCCTAACGTGACTTTTATGATGTCAGAATAGGAAAAGTGGAAATGCTTGTGCTTGCTTGCTTTTGAAAAAGTTTTCCACTGGTGGTGGACACCTTCTTGAAAAACCTTTTGATATAAATGTATTTCATGTTGTTTAAAAGTAGGTGTGTTTCTCTTTCGGACCATATATATGGGATTTTCTTTTGGGTGCGCATCTCTGCCTCAGCCTTACTAACTGTTGACTAGTTGGTTTGTGTACAATGCACAGAGCTGACCATAAATGGGCAAGAGTGTGTCGGAAATGGCGGTAAAACCCCCAGGTCTAATTTGGAATTTCCAAACAGAATACGCTGTTTACATGACCCGTATCAAAGTAAAATAAAATGACTGTGTGAAAATGAGACTAGCTCTCAATTCTTTTCAAGGTCATTTAGTTATTCTCAGTGTGTTTATTCTCACACTGTAGATGTGTGTTAGTGGATGTTGTCATAACTGTATTTCTGCTGTTGGCCCTGCAAATCTACAATCACCTCTGCCCCATTCACCTCCATCTCTGGCCTTTTAGCTTTTCTTATTCACTCTACATTTTCCACTCTGTGCCCTCTTGAAAACAAAAAGCTGGTAGCAACTTTTGTACAGAGGAACACAGAGTCATTACCATAAAGGATGAAAACTTACCAAAGTTTTGTCTAAATTTCCAGTTCTAGTTCAAAATATCTAAAGTATGATAAAACTCTCTCCACCCACAAAGGATGGTGTTAATGTAAAAGCATTAGCAGAACAAACTTTAATGTTAAAACCACAGTTATGAGCAGCAGAACTCGTCTCCTCTTTCTTGCAGTCTTTTGACCCGCTCGTTTGTGGCACAGGTCCAGGACTCTTTCTCCACACAGCACTTGAATTCCACAAGGCACTGTACTGGCTCTCCTGCTATTCTTCTTCCTCTCTTATTTTCCCCCCTTTTCCCTCCACCTCTCCACCCTTCCATCCACCCTGATCTTATCTGCTAGGCAAAGGGGGACCATGGAAAATGTCATCCTTGACATACTATAGAAACCATGACCAGCCACGACCCAAACTCCTATTAATCATTTAGAATATGATATGAGCACCACTCCTGGAAAATGTGATTACAGTTTCTCATGTTTTATTTTAGGGGCTGTTTTTCTTTATCTAAATGGATCCCATTGTTTTTTATTATCAGTGCTGAAGAATAAGACTTGCTCATGCTTGGAACGTCTTATCATAGCCAAACATTCGTCCTCCCAGGTGTCTGTACTGATTTAGTAAAGTATATTGGCCATCATTGTCTCAAAGAAGATAACTGAGACACACTAATGCAGTAAGCTGACGTGTAAAGAAATGACTAAATCTAGTATCTAAAAAAAGTCAAGTCCTATGATCGTGTGTTCTATGCCATTTTATTATGGACCGTCTCAACCAGTGGTGGGGGAAGTATTCAGATCCTTTACTTGAGTAAAAGTGTTTATACTAAATGGTGAAAATACTATGTTAAAATAAAAGTACTGCTTGATTATGTAAAAGTATGTGAGTATTAACACTAAGTAACAGTATGAAAAGTACTCATTGTGCAGCAAAATGTTTCCTGTCAGTGTTTTACTATTATATGTGAGAGGTTTTTGGTTGAATATCACTGCTGCATTGATGTGTATGTTGCATTTTACGGCTGTAGATGTTTGAGGTTGTGCGCATTTTAACTCTTATACACAGTTAGGTAGTTTAATGTGTAACAACGCATCATATTCTATAAAATCATCACATGTTTGTAGTGTGGCTGTCCTGTGAGAACAATGTGCCTCTTATAAGTCAACTTTTCATTGTGTCAGAATAACAGCCCTGCTTTCGGCTTCATGACAATACATTTTCCAGCTGATTCAAGAGGTTTTTTAAAGAGTTTATCTAAAGACGTAGGAGAATAAACTCATCCCGTTAAAGAACTAGTGCTGCCCCTTACTAAGAATTTTCCTAGTCGACCAGTGGTCAACATTTAGGGCCATTAGTCGACTAGTCGCCTGCATGTTTATGATATTAATTTAATAATTAAAAGATATATTTTGGGCGGGGCAACACAATGGTTTGAGTTGAAGGTGTGAGAAAGAATAGTATCAGTAACATTGTTAACACTGTGCTACATTACAGAGAAATACAAAACCGTACTAATGAACCTTCATTAATATAGGCCTATATTTTATCTACAAGTGCACGTCACACACTGAGCGAGCCGCCTGTTAATGACGCTGTGGGCTAATGGGCATGTAGCTACTTCCATGTTTCAGATGATACGTCATGTTTGTAGTCGACCAATGAAGATGAGTTTACATATCACCATGGGTTCGTCCTTCACCTTCTCAAAATGATCCCACACTTAGGATTTCCTGCCCGACATGTTATTAACTAGCCTGTGGAATAACCGCAGGTACCAGCCCTGGAAATTAACTTGACTCCTGTCTGACTGCTGAGTGTGGACACTTCCTGTGTCTGTCCTTTCAGATTAAATTCCCACATGGTCCAGTCGTATAGGTTTTGATTTGGTGCAGCTCCTAATAGAGTTTTACATTTGTTTTTTTGTTTTTTTTTCTGCAACTAAGCAACCAATGAAATCTTGCTGACTAATGACCTTTCTGGTTGACTAACGTTTGGTCGACTATTAGGGGCAGCCATAGAAAGAACACTCCTTCATTTTATCCTAAACAGCTGCTCTTTTCCAGTGTAGAGGCAACACAGTGTACCACAAAACAGCCCATAGCCTGTTTTTTAGGGGCCTATTTGCTCATGACATTCATCACTATTATTAAAACAACATACAGTCAATTATACAGTGAACTATTTTATGACATCTCATGTTGGATCTAACACAGTTAATTACAGCATAAGCATGTTGTCAGACCTCCTGCCAATCGATTAATAATGAATGTTCCCTGAGCAGATGTATGAATCATCTGGACATTCTCAAAAATTACATCCTTTTTAAAAATTACTTTTCATGGTAATCTGTAAAGGAAAATTCAGCATGTGTCATCTCCTGGAGACAGCTGCATGTTTGAACATGTTTTTTTGATTATCTCTTTCTGCGTGTGTGTCTGACCATTTGAAGTGTGCATGTGGGTGTGGGACCTCTGGGTGTTAATGCCTGAGTGTGTAAGAGTGAGTCTTCCAGCTGCAGAGACATGCAGAAGATGTTTTTGGACAGGATGAACTTTTTTTTAATGGTTCTAAGAACCTCCTTCACTTCAAGAACCAAGAACGAATTGTAGTTCTTATAGGACGTCATTGTAGAGGACTTTCTCAGCTCCTATTTCAGAGTAAGGCTGCAGCTTCTTTCTTTCTTTCTTTCTTTCTAGTTTATTTGAAAGGGACAATGCACATTAATAAACATTGTATACAAAAAACACACATGTAAATGCACTCGAATTAGCTTAAAAAGCTAGTTTTCATCGATTGTCCCTTTGCCAATTTGTACAAGACAACCTTTAAAAAGAACAACAATGGGATAAAATATTGTACCACATAGGG